GTGTTAGTGGAGGAGAGAATGTAATAATACGAATGGCTTTCTTTTGTAGTATATAAAGTGGTTCGAGGTAGGAGTCAAATGTAGACCCCCAAATCAAATTACAATAATTAATGTATGGTAGGAAAAGAGAATTATATAAAGTTTTTAGGGTATGTGAGGGTAGATATCGTCTTGATTTACATAAAATTCCTATAACCTTAGCGACCTTATTGCAGACAGTAATAATATGATGTTTCCATAAGAGATTTTCATGAATGATAATTCCAAGAAATTTGCATTTCTCCACCCGGGTTACAGGGCTGTTATTTAATATATAGATGTTAACTTTGGAGAGATCAATCTGTTTACGTGGTGGATGGAAGATAATGCATTTGGACTTGTCAGGGTGGATAGTAAGCTTGTTTGCATTAAACCAGGAGAAGACATGAGAAAGCTCTTGATTAACAGTGCTTTCTAGAGTAGCCAAGTCTTTATGACGAAAAATAATATTGGTATCGTCAGCAAAGAGAATGAAAGAGAGGTAACTAGAGGAGTGGAAAATATCATTAATGTATAAGAGGAAAAGGAGAGGGCCAAGAACTGAACCCTGAGGGACCCCACACTTGACTGTTTTACTGGAAGACACATGGCCATTGACCATAACATGCTGCCTATTAGTCAAATAACTATTGAGCCAGGCTAGAGGAGTACCACGGATACCATAAAAGTTTAATTTGTCGTTAAGTATCTGATGGTTAACTGTATCGAATGCCTAATTCTTAAGGTCTAAGAAAATTCCAACGGTGCATTCATTATTTTCAAAGCCTTCATAAACATTGTTAACAAATTCAAGAATAGCCATTGTAGAAGAGTGGCGAGGTTTGAAGCCATATTGAAAGCGGTTAATGATGTTCAATTTGTCAAGGAAACCAAACAGTCTAATGTAAAAGAGTTTCTCAAAAGCCTTGGAGAGACAGGGAGGAATGGAAATAGGCCTATAGTTAGAAAGCAAAGACTCTGGAGTCATCACATTTGAAGATAGGAAGTATTTTTGCTGTCTTGAGCAGTGTGGAGAAGAGACCATGGGAGAATGACAGATTACAAATATGAGACAAAGGCACAGCTATTAAATCAATGGTCCCTTTTATAGGAGAGATACAAAGACCATCAGAGCCCTCACATGTACTTTTTTTCAAAGAATAAACTATATTGGTAACCTCTGTTGGAGAAGTTGGGGTAATGTGAAAACAATTTATATAATGGCCAATCATGAAATCTCTGTGGGAAGACTGAGAGAATGGTATCTTATTCGCCAGAGAAGGCCCAATATTAGCAAAAATGTTAGTAAACTGTGTAGCTATTTGAGTTGGATCTGAGTAAGTGCCAGTGCTGTCTTTCATATGACTAAAATGTAGCTCAGGCTTCTTTTTTGAGATTACTTGTTTAATAACTGTCCATGTCTTCCTCAAGTCTGAGTTAACAGAGAGAAGTTTGTCATGAAAATATCTTTTCCTAGTAAGTTTAATGAGAAAATTGTATTTGTTATGACATTTGTTGTATCTTAACTTGTTAAGTGTAGTAGGATTTAACCGAAATTGTTTGTAAAGAGCATTCTTCCTTTTACAAGAAGCAAAAAGACCTCGAGAAAACCAGGGTTTTGAAGGGTGTTGGGATTAAGGGCCTGCAGGCTTAAGAGGAAATGACTTCCGATAAGCAGAAGTAAGAAGGTTTGAGAATGTGTCATAGCACTCATCGACCAAAATAGCAGTATAGATTGGCGACCTGTCAGTATCTTCCAATTTAGACCTAAATGATGAAATTGTTGTTGGGTTAATAATATGTATGTATCTCTTGTGACGTGGTGACTCAATGGATAATTTCAAGTTAGTAATTTGAAAAACTGGAAGATGATCGGATAAATCAGTGTAGAAAATACCACTGTGCATGCTAAGTTCAAGATTGTTTGTATATATGTTATCAATCAAGGTTGCAGATGAAGAGGTTATACGGGTAGGTTTAGAGATTAAGGGAAAGAGGCAATTAGATGTCATAAGATTGATGAACTTATTAGTGGGCTGATGAGAAGCAGAATTAAAGAGGTTAATATTAAAATCACCCATAAGATATGATAATTTGTTCTCAAAGCTAATGGTTGATAATACAGCTTCAAATGACTTATTAAAGTCACCAACAGAAGCATCAGGAGGTCTATAAAGGCAACCAATTATAACATTTTTACCATTACTTTGTATAATTTCCACAAGAATTGATTCATACAGAGAATTATCAGAAGATTGAAGATCAGTTCTAAGTTTATACTTCAAACCGGTCTGGATATAAAGACCAACTCCTCCACCTGATTTATGTTCTCTGAGATTAGAAATAAAGAGGTAGCCGGGAATGTTAAAAAGATCAGTATTTGACCTATTTAACCAGGTTTCAGAAACTGCTACCACAGAGAACTGCATTTTTAATGAAAGAAGATACTCTGACAAGTCATCAAAGTGTTTCGGGAGGCTACGAATATTGATATGAAAAGCAGAAAATGTATCAGGAGGAAAAGTATTATTGCCAAATGCCTCAAGTTATGGTAGTACCAGTGTACTCTTATGCAGTCATGAACTTCCAAGTTAGTAGTAGGATGACTGAGCATAATAAGGTAAACAATAGGACTAGTCCAGAACATTTTTTTCATTTAATTTCATTATATTTTATATATAATATGTTAACAGGGTTTGAGCCAGGCCGGGCCATTGTGCCAATCCAGCAATAAATTTAAAATGTCCCGTCAGAAGGCTGTTGAGGGTTGAGTAAAAGACTCGCAAAAAGATTACAAATTTTCTGTACAGTGAATTTTAAACAAGCAGAACACAAATCATGAACAACAATGCCTTAAAAATGTTGAAAATGTATGTGGCCAAATTATCAGAGTTTCCAATGGAATTTTGCCTTGAAGCATGTCAGGTGCTT